AAGGCCTTGATAAATTTTGTTAATACAAAAGCAGCCAAATCAGCCATTCTTGAAAAATATATTGCTTCCTATGTTAAATACCACAAAATAAAAGTAAAACTCAAAACTAAAAAAAGGACATAAAGGCAACTTGTATAAATAAAAATGACTTCTTGCAATAGTTAATCTCATTATTATTCCCAAATTATGTATGAGTGAGATAAACTTTTTGCATATGAAGCACAGGCTTCATAGAGATCTCCCTTTAATTTCAGAGACCACATTCTTTCTAAATATCCAAAACTCTATCTGAGTCACCAGATATATACACACATGAAACTAAGGCGCATCTAATTCAGGCCACGGTCTTTGTAATTACTTGCTTTGTATCAGAGAGCTGGACAATGACTCAGGATGACAGAAGAATCTATGTCTTTGAGTTGTGGTGCTGGAGAAGAGTCTTGAACGTACCATGGACTGCCAAGAAAACAAATTAAGTCTGCCTTGGAGAGAGTGAAACAAGGTTTCTCCTTGGAGGCTAGGATTTTGAAGTGCCATCTTACATACTTTGGGCACATGGCCAGAGAGGTCCGGTCCTTGGAAAAGGACACCATGCTTGGAAGGGTGGAGTGACAGCATAGGAGAGGAAGACCACAGATGAGATGGATAGACACAGTAACTGGGATAAGAGCGGTAAATGTATTGGAGTCAGCAAGACTGGCTCAGGACAGGGCAGGGTTCAGAGCTGTTGTACATAGGGTCGCTATGAGTTGCAGGCAATTCGATGGCACATAACAACAACAGCAACATACTTTATTCCTAAAGTCCATATTTAAGATAGTGGGGAAAGGTCAGAAACATTTCCATTAAGCTCAGAACAAGGCAAAAATATTCACTATTTCTACTATTGTTCAATATTGCTTCAGAGGTTTTAGCCACTGGAATTAGACAAGAGAAATCAATTAGAGACTTAAGAATGAGTAAATCATTATTGTCAAATGGGAGCTGACTCATAGCTGACCTTTCAGGAGGGTTTGGAGGCTGGATGTGACTGATTTATTACTTGCAAATGTTGTTGTTGTTGTTATCTGCTGTCGAGTTGCTTGCGATGCATAGCGAACCTATGTACAACAGCCCTAAACCCTGCTCTATCCTGTGCCAATCGCATTGCC